AAAGTGTCAGTATTCCCTTTCTGTTACTCGATTGTTTAAATCTTTAACAGAATTTAGTCATGTGATAAAAATGTAATTACGACACGAGGGTAAGAAAAAAAAATCATCTATATTTTTCACTAATACACACTTTATCCTAAAATTTACATCAAAATATGACTGTTGTTGGCTTATTTTTCCTACGGAGGAAAATATCATAAATACGAGCGTGCCAGTAAGGATTGAAAAATCCTTACAGATTAAATTCAAGCCAATTATCAAGCAATTGTGTTGACGGTTCTTTTGCCTCAATGAAGAGGATTTCAAAATTGCCAAGTGTAGAGAAAAGAAAGATTAAAAAAAGAAAGAGAGAGACGGAGAAAGATGATTGAATGAATAATCAAACTAACTATTAAAGTGCATAAAATAAAGTGCAGAAAATTAAGTGCAAGAAATATAAATGATAAGAAAAAATAGAAATCAATTGTCTTTGATTTGAGTTCTAGATCCTTTACAATGTAACCATTGATGGCTATTTATAGAGGAAAAAATACAGCAATAACTACTTAGTAACTACCCATTTCTCTCATCTTCATCCTTGTCTTGTCATGTGTCCTTCCACTCATTCACTTTGTCTTTCATGTTCTCCACCATCTCCATAACTTCTTTTCACTTCTATATGAATAAGAAGATGCCATATATCTTGTAAATAATAACAATAATAATACTAATAACAATAAGAATAAGAATATTTTATAGTGTCAACATTACCCTCCATGGCCCTTAAAAATAAAGTTTACTTAAATTTTTGAAGGGCCGAACCAAGCACACATATTGTCATTTTTGTGCCTTAAAAAAAAAAAAAAAAAAAAAAAAAAAAAAAAAAAGAGCAATTGGCCATCAATTTGAAAAGATAAGTCATTCTCAACCACTGATTTAAATGCATAGACTTTTCCTAAGCAAGTTCAACATTTCAAATGACTAAGTTGTTCTTTAGTGCATCAAACTCATCAAAATAATGCTTAAAGATGATTGTTTTATTAGCTATTTCATCAAAATTAAATTTTGATGTGAACCACAAATCCAAAAAGGATTTTGAACACCAAGAATCATAGTACAAGATGGCCTTAAAAATTCAAACAACTTGACATTTTGAATAATTTTGAAAAATTCAGATTCATGAACATTAAATTGTTTATCATTCTTAGCCATGTTTGGCTTGAGAATATGTTCTTTGGCCAAATAACTTTAATCATTTATTAACAAATGGAGTTATTTTTCTATTTTATCCATGAATGGATTATGAAAATCCTTCATGTGAGTTTCATCGTTTCTCAGTCTAATGGGTTGTTTCATTTTAGCCATTAATGGCTTATGAAAATCTTTAATAGACTTCTTATGTCCGTGATTTGAGTCTCTAAGAATGGGTTTTTCAACCCCCCCAAGTCTTGTATGAAACATTATTTTTAACCATGCTTGGCTAAATAACATGATTTTTAGCCATGTTATTTTCATAAATTGGCTCTTTAAAAATAAATTTTTTGACCCCCCAAGCCATTGATGAAATCAACTCTTTACTATTGCTATTTTCAACCATGGACAAATTTTGAAAAAATTCACCAATTCCGGCCATTAAAGCCTCAGTTAAAGACTTGGTAGTGAGAGTTGACATCTCATCATTCCATTGGCGAATTTCCATATCAAGTTGATGAATTTCTCAAATAAAATAGTATCTTTTTTCTTCCACCAAATAATATTGAAAGGGATGAAAGTTTATTTCATCAAGAAAATGGATCTCTTCTTAAAGATCCAAAAATTTTTGTTTACACCAATAGATTTCATCTAGGCTATTTGAAATGGACAAATCCAATTCATTTTTCATTTCTTACACTTGACGTCCTACCGGGTGTGCCAAAAATTGTTGGTTTATTTTTCTTACGAAGGAAAATATCATAAATGCAAGCGTGCCAACAAGGATTGAAAAATCCTTACAAATTAAATTCAAGCTAATTATCAAGCAGTTGTGTTGACGGTTCTTTTGCCTCTACGAATAGGACTTCAAAATTGCTAAGTATAGAGAAAAGAAAAATTAAAAGAAGAAAGAGAGAGACGGAGAAAGATGATTGAGTGAACAATCAAACTAACCATTAATTTATCTCTACTCCTATGCTTCGAAAAGGAAGTGCAGAAAATATACATAACAAGAAAAAATAGAAATCAATTGTCTTTGATTTGAATTCTGGATCATTTACAATGTAGGCATTGATGGCTCTTTATAGAGGAAAAAATACAACAATAATTACTTAGTAACTATCCATTTCTCCTATTTTCATCATTGCCTTGCCATATGTCCTTCAACTCATCTACTTTGTCCTTCATGTTCCCCACCATCTCCATAACTTCTTTTAACTTCCAAATGAATAAGAGGATTCCATGTGTCCTGAAAATAATAACAATAATAATACTAATAATAATAAGAATAAGAATATTTTATAGTGCCAACAACTGTATTAGGATAAAACAAAATGTAAATTGTGAACAATTAAAAATATGAACTAAGGTTTTGAATAAATTGAAATCACGAAACTCTATTTTTTGTGGTAACACAGTCTTCTATCTATTTATTTTTCTTTCTCTTTGATTTCTTTGTCGCATTTTATTATTATTTCAAAAGCTGTATTTTCTTGCCTTCTTGTCCCAATTTTTACCATACAAACATATATATATATATATATATTATATAAATCTCATGTGCTTATCACGTAGGACAAAGTGTATTGGTGGGAAATATGGATGATTTTCCTCTTTACTTTCATTTTTAGTCACATTTTTGTCACTTTACTAGATTTTGTTAAAAAATTAAAAATGAAATAACATAAGAAGGACATTGATATTTGTGTAGGGATTAAAGTAGAATTTGAGTAAAAATGCAGGAAGTTGACTATCATAATTTCATGTATAGGGGTCAAAGTGAAATTTGATACAAAATATAAGAGTGCAAAGTGCAATTTACCCGATATATTATATACTTATTCAATTTTTCCTCAGTAGTCAATGTAGAACTCTTCATATTATCAAACATTAACTGCTTAATAATGATCATTACTCTCACTAACGGTTGATTGATATGAAATGTCTCAAACAAATAAATAATTAATCAATTATTTATCAAAATGCAACAATATGAACCAATTTAGTCTTGATTTTGACTCAAATTAATGAAAATTATGAACTATTAATGTATGTTAAAATTTTGAATGCATCATTATATATACATATATAAATTTATATATGACCCCTTTAAGTGGATGGTGGGTTTAGTCTCTTAAGATTATCAAGGAAGAGAGAACATCTTCAATCCTTGTCTAAATGTCAACTCAATTTTAAATTTAAATAAGAACACCCCAGACACAATCCTTGACTCAAACTCATACTCGACGGAATTTTATTACTCAAATTTTTTACCCAATTCTGATACGTAGCTCAAAATTTCCAAGCTCGAATTTGCCCCGAAATCCAAAACGACGTCGTTTTGAAATTTTTTTTTCTTCTTTCTTTCTCGTTTTTTTGAAGATGAAGCAGAAGAAGAAGAAGAAGAAGAAGAAGAAGAAGAAAAGAGAAGAGGGAGCAGCCAACAACATTCATCAACAAATCATCATTAACAACATCTTCATCAACACATCATCAACAGCTAACAATTTTTTTTTCCCCCTTCATCTTCAGATCAGATCCACTAGGGAAAAAAAAAAATCAACAACATCATCATCATCAACACATCATCATCAGCCAAAAAAAAAAAGGTTCAGATCCGATCACTGCCATCAGCGTCGATCTTCCTTCTCTTCCTCTTCCGCCATCACCGTCTTCTTCTTTTCCTCCTCCTCCTCTCTATCTTTTCTCCTTCTTCTCTCTTCCTTTCCTCTTCTCTTCTCTCCTTTCTCTCTCTCGCCTCTGTTTGTGTTCAAAAACAAGAAAAGGGGAAAAAAAAAAAAATCAAAAACGACGTCATTTTGAGTTTCGAGCCAATTCGAGCAAATTATTTTCGGCCTACCAAATATTATTGTTTTTTACCCGAATGAAGGGATATTCAAATCTGGTGTAAATGTTAGTGTTTGCCATTGAAATGCTAGGTGCCTCTAAATGCATATAAAAAGATAAAAATACAAATTTTATGAGTGGATTTAGGACTCCTTGAAACGATTCAAGACAAAAATTTACTTAGATTTAAGTGCAAAAAAAAGAAAACAAAAAAAAACTGAGTCATAATTTGGAGATAGAGATGGGCTAACAACTTCGTATTAAAATAAGACTAGAAGAGGCAAGTGAGAACAAGCATGGAAAAAGATAGCATAATAATAGAATTTAAAAATAACAATGTTATGTAATTTGAATTTGAGTTTGTCCAAATGATTTGAGTTTTGATTTGTTAATTGTTCAATTGATCATTTGATAATAAGGTGACAGTCGTTATTGATAAGAGTAACAATTACGATAGACAAATATTGTACCAATTGTCTAAATAATTGATCAATATGTGTCCACTTTCTTACACGATATCATTTTCACTCATATAGTATCCGACTTCAAATCCATACTTAGCAATAAAATTGACTATTCTAAAAAAATACTTCAAACCGCCTCTCCTCATTTGCAATTTCTCCAATCACAGCCCAAGAAAGAAAGAAGCTTCCCAGCACATCTCACGGTTCTCTCTCTCTCTCTCTAGAGCGTGCTTTCTCTCTCTAAAATCACATCAATTTTGCAGCCAATAGCTATGTACAAAAATCTACTATATTCAAGTCTTTTTAAGTATTGTTTTTTGTGCTTGGAAATTGTAGTCTGTTAATTTTGTCTGTTTTCAGATCAGATGTTGCCTTCCCCAATCTGAAGCTGTAAAAATTGAACCCAAAGATGAGAGGAACTGTAGGTGGTAGTACCTCACCCAGCTCCATTGAAACCAGACACCGATTCTTTTCCTCTACGTTAGTCTCTCTCTCTCTCTCTCTCTATACACACACACACACAAACACCTATTTTGGGCTATTATGAGCTAAAAATGAGTGAATTGTGTAGAGTTGTTCTTTATTCATCTTATTTAGTGTGGACAAGTGTGAACTAGGTGAATGCCTATATATATACACAGAATGTAGGCTATTTTAGACCCAATAAAGTAAATGATCTGTTTATATACACACTTGCTCATATATAGATGTATGTATTTCCTTTAGTTTTTAAATCAGATTTGGTGATTGCAGCCGTTTAAATGTACTGGGTATGGTTTGTTTTGGGGGGGATTGTGTACCTGACCCTTTTTTGTGGCTTCGGCTTGTAGTTTATGCAACAAAATTACTTTGAAAAGCTGAAAAAATGTTGATTGTCCTGAATGTGGGGGATGGGTGTTTTTAGATCTGTTTATAGATTATCAGGTTTTAGTTGAGAATAGGTTTGCAGAAAGCAGTTTGTAATTTTAGGTCAGATATAGCACTCCTATACTTTGGATCATCATAGGTATTATTACATATGTATTTTTGAGTCCCTTACTTTTGCCCCGACTTGACAGTTTGGGAGTCAATGTAATTATGCCAAAATTGTTGGCTTTTTTTAGTGTATTTTTTTCAAATCTGAGGGGAGGTCAGTATAATTTACCCTTAATTTTACATGCAATGCTTCTCCTTGACCATGGAAGTATGTGATTGAGGGTGAGCATGGGTGATTGGAGTAGAGAGAGTGGTTGTGTGGTTAACAACCGGTCCTTTTGCATTTATTTTGTTATGGTTAATTATTTGAGGTTACAAGGGAAAAGGGTAGTATTTTGTTTATGCATATGTGGTTGTATAAATTGATTGAAGGAGTGCTTTTGACATGTTCATCTTCCTGGTTTTGATATGCCTTGTAACGCTGTGTTTGGTTGGAGGATTTGGGGAGGGATTCGGAAAGAGAAAGGGAAAAGGTGTGTAAAATCAGGTGAAATGTAGGTATATTTTATTCACATTTCACCTACTTTTTTTATTTTTTTTCTAAATCCCTCTGCAAATCCCCCAACCAAACATAGTGTAACAGAATCTTGGACTTTATAACAAAGGAAGGACAATATGAGGCTTTTTGCATTATTCTGACTAGTAACAAGACTTGACTGTGTTCTTAGTATTTATGACTCTTACTGCAAGTATTGCAAAAAAAAAAAAAAAAAGGAAAAAGAAAAAGAAAAAAAAAAGTGGTGTATTGAGGATTTTGAGCTTGAATACTTTGTAAAAAGTTGACTGTGTTTCTTGGAAAATTGTGAACTGCTTCATTTTCCCCTATATGGTTTTTGGTTACAAATTGTGTCTTACCTTCGACAAATTGGTGACTTGTTTAGATAATCCCCCTGTTATGAAAAGTTAGCTGTCCTTTTAGGGGTCCGGTAACTAATATGATTAGAGCAACTTCTCATGTAATTTTGCATGGCTAAATATATGGTAAGAGTAAGTTCCTATAAGAAGAATGAAACATAACGGCTAGCCTTGCGAGTGCAATATATGTGCATGCCATGCTAAGCTAATCTTCACCAGTCATAAAATACGCCTTGTGTATGCAAATGCATATTTGCAAAAGAGGCATAGTCAGTTCAATACAATTAAGGCCAAGACAAGTAAAAACTGTTTGCATACTACGTGTAAAAAGGTGGCCCAACATCCTCAATTTCAAGCAATTCTAAGTCGGAAAATTTATAAACAAGTTTAGCACACATATTCTTACCAAAAAAATAAAAATAAAAAAATCATAATTCGATGGAAAGCACCTCAATATGAACTTTTAACATCTGACATACAACTTTTAATGCCTTCACGGTTTAGGTACGGACACACAATGGTGCAAATCTGTCTAAGGTGTCTTTAGGAACTTTTTACTTTTCTTTCTGGTTAAGTATCTTTTGGTATTTCACCTTCATTATTATTAGGTTCCATGGGAAAAGAGTCATAATGGTTGAACTAGCTGAGAAATCTCTCGCCATTGGAAGTATACTCCACAACTAGATCAAGTGTCAGTAACTTATGGTGATAGAAGCAACTGTCGTGTGCTTTTTATCTACTATAAGTGAGTCAGTCAAGATTTTGCTTGCTTATTTAATGAATGGAGATCTTGGCATTCGACTGTTTGGAATTTACATTTTTGCACAGCTGATTGTAAATTTTCTGATAGTGTTGCTTTACTTTTTCTCATTATTCTTCAAATGGGTTGACTCCTTACTGCACATTTGTTGAAAGGCAAGATATACCTTTCCGTGTTTTCTTTGGCTAGTGTTAAAGCATCATATAATTTTCATATTGATCTGTCCTTTGACACTACTTCAATTATTCCTTTGTTGGCTGACCATCATGTAATTTTAATATGATTGAAGTTTCCATTGGGGTTGACAGTGTGGTACAACTCTGTTTAGTCATATTAGTGATGGATCTGCATTCATAAATTATTTGGATCTCAAACTAATTAGACTTGGTAATCAATCAGATAATAAGTTCCCAACTGTTCTCTATAAAATAGAATTATTGATATGGATGATAAGTTCAATTGGATAGTTTGGAGAGGCAATTGGATAGTTTCTTCATCCAATGTGGCCTTGACTATATGGAATGCACACTTGGGGGGTTGGGGCTTATTCCATGTTGGTCTTCTTTGTGTGGAATGCAGTACATGAGAAGATTCTTACGATTTTTATCCAATTAGGGGGAGTCAGGTTTATATGTTAATTGGTGCTGCCTTTATAAGTGTGATGGTGAATCAGTTTCTCATTTGCTTATCAATTGCAATGTGGCTATGACAGCTAATTTTGGCGTTGTCTGAGATGGAGTGGGTGTTTCAAAGAGATGTGATGGGGGTCATGCTTGGGTAGTGTGGGAGGAAAGATGAGGAAACAAAGATGGAATGTACATCTAGCTCCTTTGTGTTTGACGTGGCTTTTATGGTGGGAGCGAAATAGGGCATTTCAAGGTATAAAAGAGCCTTTGTTTAGAGGGTCTTTTCTTTTTTTGAGAGCTTAGAGCTTATAGAATTCTGAGAGAGCTTCTTCATAGCTCATAGTTCTTTCATATTGTTTAGAGAGCTTTGCTAGGTCTGCATATAGATTTAGTGGTTGCACATTCATTGATTAAGCTTGGAGTGGCTTGGAGGATTGTGTTCGTTTGCTGACGTGGCTAGCAGAGTGAGATATTAACCTTTTTTTGTAACGTGCAGCATCCCCTTTTGATGCTTCTTTTTTAATACAAATTTTTTTACTTATCAAAGACTAAAACAAAAATAAATAAATTGAAAATTGAAATTAGGTATGTAATAACTGTGCAAAGAAAAGGAGAAAAAACCTCATCCAGTAGTGGACAGCTATAAAGCATCGACACTTCAAAACAAGTGCTGATCTGTATCGGACACACAAACACTTCGTGGACACGTATGAGACACACCATAAGGCGTGTCCCCTTTATTTAATCAATTTATTTTCAGGGGACACGCCGATGACACTTCAGGGGCACACTAGAGACATGCTAAGTTGTCTTTTTCCCCTTTTTATTTAGTTTAATGAATGTTGAATGTTTATTATTTTTTTCTTAGATTTAAATACTTAATAGATCATTCATAAAAAAAAGATATAAACTGTAAGTATTAATTTAAAAGTGCTTATTTTAAATAAAAAAAATAAAATTAGAGTTATTTTTTGTTAATATTGATTGTTTGTAAATGTAATATTGATCTAACTAACAAATAAAAATATATGAAAACATATTTTATTGTCGTGTCACGGCCATGTCCGTGTCCCTATTTTTTTGAAATCATCGTGTCCCGTGTCCGCATCCGTATCCATGTCCATGCTTCTTAGGTGGACAGTAAAGGTTAGAAAAAGTGGATAATTTACCTAGTTGGCTGTTGTCTTGCACCAACTGTGGCACTCTCACTTATGAAACACGCAATTTCTCTTTGCATTTGAGTATATGAACCTATGAGCTTCACTGTTCTAGCTTGCATTGTTGTTGATACCGTTTCTTTTCTTTTCTTCTTTTGTTCTGGTGTGGTAGTGAGACCAAATTGTTGTGTAGCATAATGAAGGCGTCTATCTGTAAATGAAAATGTTGTTCTTATTTATAAATTCCTCTATACTTACCATTCCTGATGCTTTAACAATAAAAAATTATAAATTTGGATAAGATAATTCGTCCTCTGCATGGAATATGCTATCATAAATCTGCCTGGTGTTCCTGATCTTTTAGGTCCTCGTCACGTGCTTAATGTACTAATGTTTTCTTGAATTTGGTCCAGTGAAGACCCAAACAAACGGAGATCTTCCAGAAGTAAAGTTTTTAAAGATAGTGACAGGAGTTCAAACTGCAAGTTCCGTACTTTAAAAGTTGTGTTGGTCGTTATTGTTTTGGGAACATTTTTTATGCTTCTCCACTCTCCAGCAGTTTATAACACCGAACATATACCCAATTGTGGATCTAGGTATGTTATGTTATCTTTTCTCTTTGCTTTTACTTCTTTAATTGAGTTTAGTACTCTTTCAAAGCTTTTTACACTGTCATTAACTTCTTTTTCCGCTTATCTGTCCTATCTTGCAAGAGCACATGTCCTTTAATTATTTAAGTGCTCAATATTCAGTTTAATTGCACTCAATACAATGTAGAACTTCATATTTCTTGTAAAGTCTTGAACACGAAGTCTCTTTCATGCAGCACAACTTTTGTCGACCGGTGGACAAGCAAGACATCTGCTGTAGATAAACATTATATATCAAATTTGGATGTTAACTGGGACCATATCACTGAAGTAATTGAGAAACTGACTAACATAAATGAGTATCAGGGTATAGGTCTGTTAAATTTCAATGGCAGTGAAACTGATCAGTGGAATCAGCTCATCCCTGATGCAGAGCATGTTGTTTTGCAACTGGACCATGTCTCGAACAACATCACTTGGGAGTCCCTTTTCCCTGAATGGATTGATGAGGAAGAGGAATTTGAGGTTCCCAGTTGTCCTACTCTACCCAAACTTCAGGTCACTGTAAAACCACGGATCGATCTCATTGCTGTCAAACTTCCCTGCAACAAGTTGGGGAAGTGGTCAAGAGACGTGGCTCGTCTGCACTTGCAACTTGCAGCTGCAAAGCTTGCTGCCGCTGCTAAAGGGTATTATCCGGTGCATGTAATTTTGGTGACGGATTGTTTCCCAATTCCAAATCTTTTCACCTGCAAAGAACTTGTTGTGCGTGAAGGCAATGTGTGGTTGTACGAGCCCAACCTTAATCTATTGAGGGAAAAGCTTCAGCTGCCAGTTGGGTCGTGTGAGCTGGCAGTTCCTCTCATGGCTAAAGGTAAGTTCAAACTGATATCTTTTTGTCATTTGTCTTAATAATCCCTTGTAGTGTGCATGTGATGGCATTGGTATGACTTTAGTCGAGAAAATTTTTTCTAGCTTTCAAAAGCGGAAAACATTTTTCGCCCAAATAAGCTTGTTTTCTATTGACTATGGTCTTCCATGGTACCAAATGTTAGAAAATACAGAAAACATTTTCTAATTTTTTTTTCTTACTGAAACAAATGAAGTGTTAGTGTGAGAAAAGAATGTTGTCAAATTTGTTGGAATTGGGATCTCTCAAATCAACACTAATTCAATTGGGTGAGTGTTTTGAGTGTTTGGGATCTATCGAACCTTGCTAGCAGTTCTAATAAACAACTTTGTACTAGTACAAATTTGTATGAAGAATGTTAGATGATGCTTTCCATTCAATTTTTGATCTCGAAAGCCTTAATGATAAATTTCCCATGTAGTGAGTCCAGCATGTTTTGCATATATATGGCACACGAATACACGCACGCACGCACACAAAAAATGATAGCCTTAGAAATCAAGTTGATTTTAAGTAGAAAATAAAAGATAAATATATAATAAAAAAATTTGACTAGCGTAACATCCTTGTGCAGAGAACTGGTACTCAGGAAATGCGCGGCGAGAAGCATATGCAACCATCCTACACTCAGCACATGTATATGTATGTGGCGCCATTGCTGCAGCTCAGAGTATCCGCATGGCAGGTTCAACGCGCGATCTTGTAATACTCGTTGATAAAACAATCAGCGAGTATCACAGGGGGGGCCTAGAGGCTGCAGGGTGGAAAATCCGTACCATTGAAAGAATCAGGAACCCAAAAGCTGAACGAGACGCCTACAACGAATGGAACTACAGCAAATTCCGCCTCTGGCAATTGACAGATTATGACAAGATCATATTCATCGATGCTGACCTGCTTATACTTCGGAATATTGATTTCCTGTTTGAAATGCCTGAAATTACCGCTACGGGAAACAATGGATCGCTGTTTAATTCGGGTGTGATGGTTGTTGAACCATCAAATTGTACGTTCCAGCTTCTGATGGATCACATCAATGAGATCGAGTCATACAATGGCGGTGACCAGGGGTACCTGAATGAGATCTTCACATGGTGGCATCGGATTCCAAAGCAAATGAACTTTTTGAAGCACTTTTGGGAAGGCGATGAGGACGATAAGAAAGAATTGAAAACACGTCTCTTCGGAGCCGATCCTCCAGTCCTTTACGTCCTCCATTATTTGGGTTTGAAACCATGGCTATGTTTCCGGGACTATGACTGTAACTGGAACGTGGACATATTGCACGAGTTTGCAAGCAATGTTGCGCATAAGAGGTGGTGGAAGGTTCACGATGCTATGCCAGAGAACTTGCACAAGTACTGCTTGCTTAGGTCTAAGCAAAAGGCAGCATTGGAGTGGGACCGGAGGCAAGCAGAGAAAGGAAATTACACAGACGGGCATTGGAAGATCAAGATTCAAGACCCGCGTTTGCAGACTTGTTTCGAGGATTTTTGCTTCTGGGAAAGCATGTTATGGCATTGGGGTGAAACGAATTGGACAGATAACGCAACCGCTAGCCCATCGCCTCCTGTGATCAAATCAGCTTCTCTCTCTTCTTTGTGATATGTGATTTTTTTTCTTTCATACTCCTAACTTTTTCATCAATAGATTCCAACACCATAGCAATGGAGAAGTGTATTTTCTTACTATTTTTAGAATCTTTAGTTATTTTTGTTAAAACAATGTCCCACTAGTGAAACAGTTTATGCTTGTAAAGCTACACAAAGCTTGGTTCTATGAAACTCACTTTCTGTCACCCTCATCAACTTACGTAAAGCAAGCTAAATTGGGCTTTAATGAGGTTATCTAATGATCAGTAAAACTCTTGCTATGTTTAAAATATAATAAGAAGTTTTTGTCGTCTCCAATTATAAGGTAATAAAATTACTACTGTAATTTAAGCTTGTTATTTTGTGTCGGATCAAAATCCTCTTCATTACATGATTTTAATGAAATATCTCAGTTATATTGTCTAAAAATTGTGGAAAAAAATCATGTTTGTAATTACTTTTTCTTAATTAGAAATAAAAATAAGTTTATATGACCGTTTTTATTTTTTAAGAAAATTATATGACTAAATTAAAACCATTAAATTATGTAATTGAGGGTGTAATTAACAAGATCTTAATCCATTCGGATTCAATGAATGAATTACTATAGACAAAATTGCCAACTTATTTAATAGAGAGAAATGATAATTAGTTATAATAGGATAGAAAATCACAATTTAATGGTTGTGATTAAAGTAATAAAGGTCTTGTTTGGAAAGTTGGTTATTTTAGTTGGCTACTTGGTTTTTTCACTATTTTAGTTTGGCTAAAATAGTTGTGTTCGAGAAGTTGGTTTTTTTTTTTTTTTTTTTTGACTGTGAGAGAAAAATTAAAATATGGGTTGAATATGATATTTTGTCTTATTAATTATTTTAACCTATTTTATCTTTTAGTAAATTATTTTAACCCAATTCTCTTGCCAAACACCCCAAAATATGGCAAAAACACAATTGGAATAATATTACAAAATTATAATAATAAATAAAGTTTAGCAAATAAGCCATTGGACATACTCTTATGGTAGATTATCACTTCTGATCACATGGTTGGGCTTAATTTATTTAGAGCATTGATATTTACATTTTTTTTTAATATATCTTTTAACCTCTTACAATAAAACTATGGAAGGTTAAAATTGAAATCTAAATATTACTTTTATTTACTTATTCTTCTAATCTAATTAAAAATATAGTTGCTATGTAAGTGCTTTTCAAACTAGGAATTGAGAACCTTTCCTAAGATTCTTATGGTACACTACTAGAGGTGCATGTGCATTACATACGATAAATTTCACATATTATCTTAAGCTTTTATATTAATCTTTAATCATTGGGTTATGTAATATACGTGGTATGAAACATCCAAAATAGAGTGTGCAATACTGACTATAAAATTTATTTTAGATTGTGAAACAGAATTGTTCCGAACTCTCTAAAGCAGAGTCGATTATTATTTGTAAAAGCGTTGTTATAGTTGTAACCAATGGTTGTCCCGAACCATCTAAAACAAAGTCTATTATTAATACACAAAACTCAATTGAAAAAAACAATCAAAAGGCCATCAGTTTGCTAATAAGGCTACTTTGAATTATCACCACTCATTCAAAAGAGATCAATTGCAAAAATATTTATTTTCTTTATATATTTTCATGATTTTTCTTTATTTGAATATGACAAAGTTTCTCTTTCTCACCGTTTATGAGAAGGTAATGGAAGAGACAAGAAAAATGATCATATTATAATGTTTGAAAGTGTTTGATATTTGAATTCTGGAATGTGGTTGGTAAGGGTGAGCAGTGGATATACTGATCTGCCCACCGACCGAACCAAACCGATCTGATCCGTCGCATTTTGGACGGATGCGTGATGACTAACGGACGGCTGCGGATTGATTTTTTCCAATCCGTCTAATTTTGTGTTTTCAATTTGTTTAAATATTTTGTTTGTGTTTTCAATTGAAAAAGAGTTCAAATATTCTGTTGAAAAAAAGTTTTCAACTTGAATATATCTTTTGAATTGAAAAAAATAAATATATTATTTATCTATATTTTTTGGTTTTAAAATCTAACTCTAAAAATAATAAATAAAAAAGATGATATATGTTGATTGGTTTTTGTTTTTAAAAATAGATATAGATGTAACAATACAGAGGCATATAATCTCTACTACTGCTATGTTCATGATTTTGGTGGTTTGAATTGTTTATATATTGTAAGAACCACAGATTGTAATATTTTATGTGGATAAGGCATGCTGTGATTGTAATATGTGGATGATGTATACAGTGATTGTAATACTTTTTAAAGTCAATGACTGTAATATATATATATATATATATTTTAGGAAGTGCACAAGTTGAATTATATTGAAAATTTATAAAATTTTAAACTGCTAAACCGATTCGTATCTATTGGCCAATCCGCTCAATCAACATCCGTCAAATTGATGGACGGATGCAGATTGATTTTCTCCAATCCGCTAATCTGGTGGACGGATGGCGGATTGGAGGTTCCGTGGCCGCAAACCGATCCGCGCTCACCCCTAGTGGTTGGTTGTTCGGTAGATGTAGGTTACTGTGTGATATTTAATAAGTTTGAGAGGGTAATTTAAAAATATGAAAAAAAAAAAGGAAAAAAAGGACATATATGTTTTTCAGACTTTTAAAATAGGAGTACATTTTGGCTCTATTCTTAAGTTTTCTCATAAAAGCAAATATTGTTAGGGAAAATTATTTGTAAATCATATTTGGAAGACTTATTTAATGTGAAGGTCTATGAATATTCTTTTAGAGTTTGAAATCTTATTTAAATAGGAATGTGTTCTATAAGGTCTTATGAGTTGTAAATGAATTATATTAGTGTACTATTATATCCCTAATTTGTTTTCATATTGTACCTTGTTTTCTTATTCATCATATCATATTTAGGAAGACTTTTAAGAAAGACAAGTGTATAGGCAACGATCGTGCGAGTTTTTTTCGCCTTGATCGTAGGATTCCAGTGCATTTTCAAAATATTGAAGATTGAAGGTTTTGTGTAAATCCAGGATTCCAGTGGATATGGTCGATAATATAATGAAGATTGAAGGTTTTGTATAAATTCCTTCGCCAGATTTCGACTCCAATCGATTGAGAGGAAGATGTATTTATTTATTTATTTATTTTTGAAGTGTGTTGTTGTTTGTTAAAGTGTGAATTGTTCATCTTTAATAGGGTATTAACAATCTATTACACTCACTGATAGACACACTTTGGCCAATGTTTTGATTGAATGTGTGTATTTGACATTGTGATGGTTGATGCGTTTTGATATGTTCGATATGTGGTGGTGGTGTGTATGGTTGAAGGGTTGGGTTAGGGGTATTTGGTTTTGGTAGTTAATTGAATGTTGAATGTGAACCACGTCGTAGGATGACAATTGTACATTGGGACCTGGATGATCATGTTACGATGCATGTTACATTTAGTGTGTAACGTTAATCCATATACACTATGTAGTGGATGACATTTGTGTGTTTGTTTAGTTGTATATGTGTTTGAATGTGTATCGTGTCTGCGATGGTGGCTGCGATCGGCGATGGTTGCTGCAATCGGCGATGGTAGACGACGACGGCTACATGGACGAAGGCGATGAACGACAGTGGCTAAGACGAACAACGGAGGAGGACGGCGGTGCGAGGCCACAGCGACGGTGGCGCTGAAGGGGAAGAGAGTACGAGAGTGAGAGAGAGAGACTGTGAGTGAGTGAGAGAGAGAGAGAGACTGTGAGTGAGTGAGAGGGAGAGAGAGAGATGAGAGGTAGTGAGAGGATGAGAACCAGAGAGAGAGAAGAGAGGGAAGAGTGTGCAAATGAAAGAGAGAGAAAGAGAGACGGAAACATAATTATAAAATATATTTTATATATATATATATTAAGTCGGGGACAAATTGGTCGGGGCCGGGCCGGGGCCGGGGATTGGGCATTAATTACCGTCCCCGGCCCGAAATTAATCGGGGATTAATTTTTAAATACCATCCCCTCCCCGTCGGGGGTATTTTTCGGGGAAAAACCATTCAAATCGGGATCGGGGGATCGGGTCCCCGTCGGGCCGGTTTCAAATTGCCATCCCTATGTGTTGTTGTTTGTTAAAGTGTGAATTGTTCATCTTTAATAGGGTATTGACAATCTATTACACTCACTGATAGACACACTTTGGCCAATGTTTTGATTGAATGTGTGTATTTGACATTGTGATGGTCGATGCGTTTTGATATGTGGTGGTGGTGTGTATGGTTGAAGGGTTGGGTTAGGGGTAGTTGGTTTTGGTAGTTAATTGAATGTTGAATGTGAACCACGTCGTAGGATGACAATTGTACATTGGGACCTGGATGATCATGTTACGATGCATGTTACATTTAGTGTGTAACGTTAATCCATATACACTATGTAGTGGATGACATTTGTGTGTTTGTTTAGTTGTATATGTGTTTGAATGTGTATCGTGTCTTTGTTGTAATTAGTGTTTACATATATGCCACAGTACGTTGCACAAAATTATTGAGAATTTGGGTTTGCAATTGAATGTAGATTAAATCCCATTGTTCGATGTTGAAGTTACGCTGGGTTGGGGCTAATGCTGGTTTAATACATTGGTTGAGTTGTGATGTTACATGTTACATTTAGGAGATTACATTATTCATAATTCAACGGTGGAGTATTGAAATGTCACGTTGGGTTTAGGATGAGAAGCATGTGACAATGTCACGGTGGGTTTGGGATGTTACATGTTACATTTATGTTGGGTTTGAGATCAGAAGTATATGAAAATGTCACGTTGGGTTTGAGAATGTCACATTGAATTTAGGATGTTACATGTTACATTCATGTCTTGAATTTCAAATTTTCAACCATACAGATATGATCATAATCTATGTTAGCATTAGATTTCCCATATATGGTATTGCTATTGCTAATCAAGTTATTTTGAATTTCAGAAGTATATGGGAATGTTATGTCACATTGGGTTTGAGATATTACATGTTACATTTATGTTTTAAATTTTAAATTTCCAACCACATAGATATGATCACAATCTATGGTAACATTAGATTTCTCATATATGATATTGCCATTAATTATACATATGATTACAATCTATGGTAATATTAGATTTCCCATATATGGTATTATCATTAATCAGGTTATTAATTAATTAAGATTGAGAGTAGATGTGTTCACAAGAAAATTACAAGACCTGTTAAGTTATAAATTTTTTTATAAGATCATATCTTATATGAATCTTCCAAATAAGACTTATAAATAATTTACCCATATTGTTATGCCCTCTTATGCCATAAATATTTTGAAGATAGAAACACATGTCAAATTTCTGAACACTTAAGTGGTGTTAATTTAATTGGTCAAAACTTTTATTCTTCATATTTACAAATCAGAAAAAAAAATCCAAAATTAACAAATCAAACGCTCAAGGCTCTGATTAAGTCACAAATGGTGTGTTTAGTTTGTGTTTTAAGATAAATTTTAAAAAAAATTTATGAGAAAAGAAATTTTTTTGGTTTGTTTAGTTATATATTTTGAAAATAATTTTGAAATTTAGGAGTTTGGGATGATTTGATATTTTGTTGTAATTGAGTAGATGTGTGTGAGAAAAAGTGATTGAGAAGGAGAGAGGAGAGAGAAATTGATTCTGAAATTTTTTAAAAAAAAATTTGAACCAAACAAAATTTAAAAAATTCTTCTTAAAAATTATACCTTAAAATACAAACAAAACAAGGCCAAGTGATCTCACAATAAGAATCTACCCCCATAAATGTAAAATAGCTCCATAGACTTTTGGTTTGAACTTCAATAAGGTTTATTCTTCAAATCTTATCACAAATAAGAGATTGAAACAATGATTGAATTTGTGCATAATTTTTATTTTTATTTTTATTTTTTTGTGTACATCCATAAAATTAACCAAGACACTATTTGAACAATAGAAGTTAGTTAAGCGCTATGCCGAGGTGGAGGACGGGAAAAGAAACGAATATGAAGAAAAAAATTGGGGTTTATAGTATATTTCTCCGAGTTCATCGAGATGAGCCAAGTAATTATTTATCTTCAAGCAAAAAGAAATAAACATTCATCCTTTGGCAAGTGATTTTTTTAGTTAAAAAGTCAAAAAATTATTAAAAAATAAAACAATTAACAATTCATACTAAAAAGTCAAAAATTCTATTTTCTCTCTACTTTTTACATATCTTTTCGTAAAAAATTAAAAAGTCATCCAAAATATATTTGATTTTTTTACATCACATTTTAGTCAAAAATATAAAAATTACTAAAATTACATTTTTGCAAACGAGACCTAAGTCAATATCAAGACAAAATTATTTTATACTAAGTAAAATTATTTTGTGTTTGATTCATATTTTATGACTCAAAATAACTTATTTGAATTTCTTTCATCATACGTATGGGGAATAATTTTATCCACAATTTATCACAAGATAACAATCAGCTTGCTTGGTTTGTTTTTTAAGATTCACTTTTCAGAAAATTAAAATTTTATCTTTTTCATATTTGTTTATTTTCACTAAATTTTTTAATATTCTAAGCAATTTTTAAAATTTTTAGATATACCGAATATAATTACACTTAAAAAGCATAATATTTGAGAAAAAAATCTTTAAAACATTCACTAAATAACAAAAATATATATAAAAAAAATTCAATACATTTTTCTTATTCTTGTGTATTTATTGATTTTTAAATTATTATTTTTTTAAATATTTTACATTTTAGATACAAATAAATAAGATATATCTAAAAAAGTAAAAAAATAACTTAAAAATTAAAAATATTCACTAAAAATAAAAAAATATAAAAAACAAAAAATTAAATTCAAAAAATTGAAACTAACAGTGAATCCTATGCCAAAATAACCAAAACCCCCCATCGGGATTAGCAATTCAAGTATAGAATAGACTAATCGGTGTTGACATAGAATTGTAATGTATCCAAACATAGCCAATACGGTATAAATACAAATACAATAACAGACGATAAATACTAGTACTAATGAGAAATCCAACCCTTGGTAGTAAAAATTTCTCCATTAACGCACAACACTGAAGAACTCGAGAGACGGAGAGAGAGAGAGAGAGGGTTTCTTCTCAATTTCCCTTATGCGATTCTCTCACATCCACACGACTCTGAGGTTAGTCTCTCTCTCTCTCTCTCCCTCTCTCTCTTCATACATACAAGTTAGGGTTTTGTTTTTGCCGTGTATTTTTTAATTGATCGATTTGCATTGTTATTTATATGTATACGTGTTTGTATAGTTAAATCCAATCTAATTTTGGTTGAAGATTTTTATTTTTATTTTTATTTTTATGTAAGTCAATAATATTTCAGAATGTAATGTTTGTGTTTGTTCTGTCTACCGTTACCCCTCTGTTTGGCTGCCTGGAAAATGAAGGAAAGTAAGAGAACGTTGTTTCCTTAGTATATAATAAAATGAAATATTCGGAGTTCTGGTTTCTCCTTTGTTTACTATTTTTGGGTGTGTTGGATCTGTAATTCTCGGTGCTTGTTTGTTGGATTTGAGATGGGGCCTGGTTTGAACTTTAGTTAATGATGGTTACAGCTACTATTGTTAAATTGGGTGTCTTTTGGTTTTGTATGTTTTCGATGTGGAATGTGTGTTGCTGATTCAGTGGCTTAAATTTTGTGGGAAAGTGTTAGTAAATTGTGAGGTTGAATATAATTTCAATCTCATGAATAAGTTCACATTTTCCTTTGACAGGCGTGTGAAATGTGAAACTAGGTGCCATGCTACTAGTCAGAAGCTGTAAATAAGAACTGTTGATTATATTTCATTCTTTCTTTTTTGCCAAAATTGAATCATTCAACTACTTTGATTTGCTAACTGGGTTGAAATCATCTCATGTGGATGATAGAATTCTCTGTAGCTTAAAAGTTTGAAAGAATTTGTTTTCCTTTCCCTCTCTCTATTTTGTTGTTTTGGACATTTTGTAAGTTAACATCTCTATTTTGCTTTCCTTTCACAAATAGAATATATATTTTATATGTGATTTTATTTCTTATAGTTGTTGTAGCAATAATATAAATTTGTGATGGATCTTCTTGTAGTTCCTTAGTTTAGATGTTTTAAGAGGTGATATTTGAATCCTATTATGGTATGGGCCATGTTGAGTTTCAGAATGGTTTGACTTGTTTCAGGTTTATGTTATATAAATATGCCGGTTTGACGGAGTGGAAGGCCGACTAGATAAAAGTAGAATTGAAATTTTAAAGAGCATCTCCCTCTCTCTCTCTCTCTATATATATATATATTCACATACACACTCGTATATGCATAACAGATTCAACCTTTTAGAAGCCGGTAAGGCTTTTTGTTGTAGGGCTGTCCAGTCTAGTTGTTTCTGAGTTCATCATGACAACCCTTTTCACCACCTTAACATTGTTGGCAAGTGTGATTTCCATCACTTGCTGTATGGCCAATAATGCAGCTAATTATGATAATCAACTTGCTATCTTTATAATTAAGTTATAAATGCATACTTTCTGCGTAAATCTAGTCATCTAGTTTATTAGATTCATCTATTATAGTTGTTTGATCCATTTTTTTCTTTGTCTTTCACATGTGTAGATGGATGCAATTTTGTGTACTTGTCTTCAAGACATTTGGCATCATCTTGTATGGATCAAACTTTACTACTCCGTAGGGGTGCAAATTAGCTGAGCCGAGCTGAGCTTGGGGTTGTTTGCGCTTGGCTCGGTCACACCAGATGCATGCTCAGGCTTGGCCTGTGTTTGGCCCAACTTGGCTAAGCCATGCTCAGGCTTAACTCATCAATATTTAGTGAAACTCATGCTCAGCTCATCAATAATTAGTGAAACTCGTGCTTGCAAGGGTATAAACAGTTCGGTTTGGTTGGCTTTTATGAAGAATTTGGCATCACACCAATCCTCTCGGTTTGCAATTAGCAAGAACCGAAACAGACTGTTTATAATTATAGTCCACACCAGACCGTTATGCATTGTGGCGGTTCGGTTTGGTTCAATTGGTTTGGTCATTTTGCAATTGGGCATGTTTTTATGAACAACCAATCAACAACATCATGCAAAACATAAAGCTATAGTTAGTATGCTTCAATGTTCAAAATATTCGACCTGGATTAATTAAAATAGTAGTGACATTGGTGATCCTCTCATTTAGTCAAAGAAAGTAAAATGCTACATCAGGCTATTTGAAATGGAAAACGCATCCTTCTGATTTACTAGTATGACAAACAAATGTGAAATGTCCCATCTACCATCCAATATTCAACATTTATTTTTATAAAGACCAATAAAACACTTTTCAGACAGGTGTTCCAGGATGGATGTATCAAACAAAATATGGGAGTTTTTCACTTTTAAGGTTGTGATTTGGTGTGTGAGAGACTATAGCAACACTTTGATAAACTTGAACATTAAATAGGTTGGTTTCGGTTTTGTTCAATATACATAATTTGTAAACTGCTACCGAACTGGGAAATTAATTTTTAACATAACCAAAACCATAGCCGACCGTATTTAGTGAGAACCGACCAAAACGAGTCAGCTTGGTCTGATTCGGCTGGCACATTATCCGGTTTTTCAAACACCCCTACATGTTTGTCTTGCCTCAAGCTCATATACAATTTTGAAACATGAAACAACTCAGTTGAAAGAGAACGCCTATTAGCTTATACCTACATATATTGGTATGTTTATTTATATATATAGATAGATAGAGGATCAAAAATAAACCATAAGTAAAAGTGTGTACAAAGTGAGCAATTTTTTTATGATTGTAGTGCTAAATAATTTTTAAGGATGACTTTCTTAGCGTAATAGTAAAATTGTACATGAGAAGTGGAAACAAGGACTTGTTTGATAAAGTTAAAAAGTAAAATTCTAATGCGTTTCATTCCAGAACTCGTGAAAGTGTCAACTTCTTGTTCATTCTAGTAAAGTATTTAGTTTTGTTGTTTGTCATTGTTGGAAAAGTCTCACCAACCTTGCACTCATCTTACTATCGCCTTACATACCAATTCGCTTGTGTTCACAAATTAGCCACGCTAGTGTTGGCCAATTCTAAGTTAACCTTGGCTCATTTATGTAACAAACAACTTGAATGAGCTCAAATTGTTCATGAGCATCTTGGTTCATTTGCAGCCTAATATTTTACTTCCTTGTGTTCCTAAAGTGGCCGCCCTTCTTTGATACTGGTCAGTTCATGTAGCATTTCACACATTTTTCAAGTTGGTTGAAATAAGCTTGTTATGCATAAAGATGCGTTTTGTACCTTGTGTGTAGGGAGTATATGCTCTATTGTTTTTGACACCACCAATGTAGGCACGGTGTCATTTTGTGATGCATTTTATGCTCATCTATGAAGCATGTGTATTTTGAAAAGCATGTCATACATATACCAGATTTGTATTGGGTATTAGTACTTGGCATGGTACTTATATATGCATACTGGGTACACAAAACATGTACCAATATTTTTCCTCAATTTTTGACGTACCACAAAGGTACCCAGAATGTACCAAGTCGTACCTCAGCTAAAATAGTATTTTCTTTTTATATAGAAGTGAAGTTCGTTTCATTGGAAATTTTTTTTTTTTTCTTTTCTTGTGCTTGGTATGATTTTAAAACTAAGCTTTGGTTTGTAAATTCTTTAATATAATGACATTTAACTTCATTTTATTCCTTACTTTTGGCCAACTAAACCATTTACCTAATTTTAATATCACTTCTCCAAATTAAAAATAATTTTTTCCCCTAGGTCTTATATTGTATGAACATACCCATACTAGTGCCCATACACGTGCTTCATAGTTTCTTAGGGTAATGCTTTACAATTCTTAGAATGAGCACCATGAATATGTTGAACGGGATTTTGTGCCATCATTGGATGATTTGAGGGTCTTGGTTTGTTCACTAGAGAAAAGGCTTGCAAAGGTCGTCAATCACTTTCATGAGTGATGTGATGACGTTGACTCCTTTTTTGTATACAACTTCATAAACAAGATAGAACATTATAATACCCGATAATGAAAAACACAGCTAGTCATTGGATGTCAAAAGAGTACTTTCTTACCATCTTTTTCATCTTTTATTCCTTTCAAATATAATGTTTGCATTAAACTATTTGAACCTAGTAATAATAAATGGGTTTGGATAGGAATATTTTTGACTTGGGTTAACTTGGGGTAGCTAAGTGTAGTTATGATATAGGTAAAATATCTTAAATTTCCTAAATAGATATTTTCGAAGTTAATTTGATATTTGGCATGATTAATGATGCAATTAGAAACCTTTGAAGGTGATTTTCAATTTTTTTGATTGGATTGTGGCTAGACCAAATATTGCAGTAAGGGATTGTTGGTTCTCCTCTTCTATGGGAATGGTTTGAAACCTGCTGATCCGGTCTTTTGAGGATTGGGAAGTGGGGTCAATTAAGGCAGTCTGACTTGTTTTAGTGCAGGATGGTCCAAGAAGGTAAGGATGATACTTTGGTCTGGGGAGGGCTTAGAATGATTATGTTTGCGGTAGCCTCCTTTTATAGGAAGCTTGTTAGGGTTGGGGATGTAGCCTTTCCTTGGAAAGGGATTTGAAGGATGGCAACTTCATATGGTAGCCCACCAAAAAAGGTTACTGTCTTTGCAGGAATGGCAACTTGGCAGGCTATTCTGCTGACAGATAATCTGAGGATTCTGAAATTCCTTTTAGATTAATGCTACGTGTGCAAGTGTGCAGGGGGGAAGTGTCAGTAATCTTTCGTTGCATTATCCAGTGGCTAGGGATGTGTTTTCTAGGTGTTTGGAGTTCAGTGTGCCGGTGCTAGTCAAGGTGCTCTTTGCATTGTGTAGGGGCTGTCCTATCAGAGTTACACTAAGTCTTGGGAGGTAGCCCCACATGCTTGATGTGGTGCTTGTGGAAAGAGAGGAACTGGCAAGCCTTTGAAGGTGTAGAGTGCCTGATTATTGGCTTGAAGGGTATAGTGCTAGTCTCTATGTCTTTTTGGTTGAGGGGTACTTTTCCTTTTCTTCAATTTCTTTTTTGTTGATTCTTTGTGACATTTATATCCCTGTAGATATATGGGACATTTCTTTTTGTTTTTGTTTTTGTTTTTGTTTTCGTTTTCGTTTGTTTTCCCCCCTTTTTTGGTTGTATATGGTCTGTAGACTCTGTATATATTGTTATGCCCCTTTTGTTGGCACCATTTAATGAAAGAGTTATCTTTACTTACAGAAAGAAACTCATAAATTTTTATAATTTTGAATTTCTGAAAGGGTAATTTAGCTTGATTTTCGAGATGGTATGCTAATTTATATTGACCCCATATAGTTTCAATTGTAGCACTCTCTCATTTATGCTCTTTCATATGGCCCTATTGAGTTGGTGAATTGATGGAAATCTTTCAATTACTATTCCTTCCTTAATTTTGAATTATTCCACCTCTATCAACTAGGGCTGTTCACAGGATGGGACAGGACGGGATGGGTCGGACCGGGTTGGGTTTACCAGTCATTCGTCAACCAAACCGACCATTTCGGTTAGGAGAAGATCTCAACAGAGTAATGATTCGAAACTGGTCATTTTGGGCGGTATAACAACCGGTTGGGCTTCGGTCGGTGCAATAACAAAACCCTCCATTCAAATATCAAAAGATCTCAATCTCAAAACAAAGGGGTTTCGATAGTGGAGAGATTAAAGAGGTTTTGTGGGAAGGAGATCAAAAGGGGTAGGGGTTGAAGGGAAGAGGAAGAGGCAAAACAAATCCATACCACCACCATTGTATCACCATAGTCGCGATCTCACAACCAACCACCACTTTGATCTTGTCACCACTGCTACGATCTCGTTGTTGTTGGCGTTGGCACACTATCTCATCTTTGCCAGTGATGGAGAATGAGAGGAAAATATGCAGGTGAGTGTGATATAGAGAGAGAAAATATAGAAAGATATAAACAAATGATATAGATACAGAGAATATAGAGAGAGGAGAGAGAGATGTGTTCCTAACTTTCTAACTTCCTAGTCAATTCTAGATAAAGCTGCTGATGGATGAGTGATAAATGAGTATCAAATTCCAACGTGAGATTTAGCTGGTGGCCTTAAATGATAAGTTATTAAGAATATGCCACATGTACAACTATTTAAACAATAATGCCCAAATTATTCTGTCAGTCAGATTTTTTACGGGTTGAATAACTGGGCACCGACAGCCGAACCAAAATTTCAATTTCTAGACTTTCAGCGCCCGATTCCGACTGTATGTTTGTGCAAAACAGTCTGTGAGCCATCAGTTTGAGTCGGATCAGTTGGTTTGATCAGATCATTTGGTTTTTTAAACACCCCTACCATCAACAAACCCATTTTCTACAACATTTTTGCTTTCTTGCTCCTTTTGCAATAAATTTCATCATGACTCCCTCCAGTAACAAGAGCCACGGCCACCACTATTTGCACTCAAATCATTTTTCTTTACAAAGTTTCATCCCCCTTGGTTGGCAGTGGTGGTGGAGAGAGAGAACATGGTGGCTAATTGGTTGCAAACAAGGGTGGGTGCACGTTAGGGTGAGTGGGGGCATCTCTTCCCACTGGATTTTAATGAAAAAATGTTCTGCCATATGTTCTCTAAAATTGCTACAAGTATACAATTTTTGGCCCTATTAGTTTTGTCTCAAGGTGAAGTGAACTTATAGTAACTCATTACTTTCTCTATTATTCTTTTTCTCTCCACCTTATTTCTACATTAGTTTCTTTCTTTTCACAATACTTTTTCTTACTAAATCCTCCCTCAATTATGACCTCAACTTCCTTTTATATCACTTGTATCTCTCTGAAGCTTCTCACCAAACCCTCTCACCGTGGG